ATACACGTGGGAAGAAAATGAAGAACATTATTCAGTTTTGCTATATGACTCATATGATATAAGCATTAAAAAATTGAACACCATTTCTCAGAAAGGTTAAGAATTACAGAACCATTTTTCAGAAATGATGATGCAAATATTGTGAGGCCAAGAATGTGTTTTCTTAGAAATGAAGTATACAACAAGCAAAGCAAACACACTGATCTGTGTGTGACCTACTTTGTAATTAGCATTCACTTTTAACCTAAAAAGTACCTTTTCCATTCCATCAGACAAAATCATTTTTTTATTTGCTGACTTGTCAAAACTCCTTTCCAAATCCATGTTTTTTGTTTTCTTTCTCTCAAAATTTTCATAGTGAGCATGAAAAAAGAAGAAGTTTTATCATGGAAGTTGAAGGATCACAATCTCCATGTATACTTCATATATATGTCTTTACTTATTTCACAAGTTCAGACCAAAAAAACTTATTTCACAAGATAAGAGAAAAAAATTATATTGGGTTGCTCAAGGAATATAAGATATAGGCAAAGCTATAATGATTGGGCATAAAAATACAAATGCAAAATCCATGTGTCAAACACTCAAAGTGTCATCTCTCAGTAAACTTTTTCCCATTATTGTTAAGTTTTCCTTCCTTTTTTCTTTCTTTCTTTTGTTCCTCCTTCCTTATGAATCGATCATAGAGAAGAGGAACAGTTAGAAAAAGGAAGACAAACTATGCAGTGGGCTTGGAAAACTGTAATGATGCCAATTTCCAAGTTATGCCTTAACTATGTATTCGTTTTCCTTTGAAAAGGAAACTGTAATTATGCTCTGTTTTTAAGTTTTAAGACAATTAGAACCTGATTCCATATTCTGCTTCCACACAATTATTCTTCACATGCATTTGACTTGCATACTAGAAATGCAATACCGTATACGATCCAAAAATCGTTTCTATAATACGTTTTATGGGTATTTTCTTCTGAGGCCAATAAAAATTTAAAGTGTGAGTAACTGAATTTGGATTCAGTTTCTTTTAGATTGTCTGCCCGCCAGTTCATAAAGTTTTGGTAATGGAAAGAGGTTTGTAATGCCTGAGGCAATATTAATTAGTTATAAACATGCAGCCTGCTAATTTGATATATTAAAGCTAACTGATGTTCTGGAAAGAAGCAAAGGGTGGTTTACTTAGAGGACAAGAGACTTGGTAGCCTCCCTTAACAAACACTTTGTCTTTTGAGTTTTGTTTTTCATAACCTTTTTTCTTTCTAATTATTTAAAAATCCATTTTAAGCAGTAAACGCGTATGTTGCTATATGATCCCACTAAGCTCAGTTAATTACAAAGGGACGAAAGTTCAGTCCCAGTGGAGGTGAAGAAGACACTTTTGTTTGTTGGAATATATGCACCTCAAGTGTGGAAAAAGCTGAGCTCTAAACAAATTAAGTGGTGGAGATTCCTTTGTAATGTTTGATCTACTTTTTAAGGAAAATATCTATAATTTGCACACACACACACACACACACACAGAGATGTTTAACGGGTGGGTGATGAATGAGAGGGTTGTCTCTTTTGAGCTGGTTTAAAAAGAGAGATGAATTTGGCCATTCTGGTAGTAAAAGTGAAATCACAAAAGTGATGGATCGATCGAAAAGATCGTTATAAATACAGAAAGGAAAAAGAAGTTGCTTTAGCCTTTAGCCATACCAACTGATATGGGAATCTACTTTTACATCCACTGTTTGTTGTTGAATTTATAATATTGGCCATAGAGCATGGAGGCTTTTTCTTTGTACTAGTTTAGAACTGAGAAATCCTTCCAGGGAAGGGCCCATTTGAACATTCCCTTTGATTTCGGATTGGTAAACTTGGATCCCACATTTAATCAGTTGGGGTTTGATTGGGCATCACTTAGACCTGCAACTTGCTAATTTGATACCACTAGCCCATTTGCTGACCTCTGTGTGATTGCCTTTATTGGCTATGGAATAACTTTTGAGACAAGGATTTGGTTTTAGGCAAAGATAAATTGAGAAAAAGGGACATGACTGCAGCTGAATGAAGTAATATTTTCTTGTGCTTGGAAGTGGTAGATGTATGAGATAAGATGAGATGAGATGAGATGGGAAAGGGTCGACTATTGTTGGACAAGTTCTGGTTTGAGTATTAAATCTTGAGAAAGAAGGAAAATGTTCCTTTCATTCATATAATGATAGGGGGCAAAATTGATGAACCATTTTCAAATGCTGAGTTGGTTTTGATAGTAAATGATGTTGGATGGCTCTGTCTAGCATATGGATTGATGGGGACATTGTAGCACTACAGCTTCTCTTTTTTAATTCAGTACCTCTGAATTTCCCCAGCAAAAATAGCAGACGATAAGGTAAAAAGAATTTTTTTAATTATAAAAAAAATAAAAAAATAAAGAAGAAGAAAGAAATGAGCACTGAAATTCTCTCTACTGTTGCCTGGTTTGCTCAAGCATCATCTTAAAAGCAGAAGCAATGCTGCAGCAGAGCTTGGTAACATCAAGTATTGCGACCGAGACCAACCTTGAGCTCCAATATGCTGTTCTAACAGTGTACATAAAGAAACAGAACAAAAAGAAACCAATGAGATGAGAAAGCACTTCGAATAATATACTAATTCAGGTAACAAGATAAAAGCGTTGCAATGACAATCTAAGACAATGTAATGGGATTCAAGTTTATTCATTGTTTCTTCAACCAAATATCAATTATGTTTTGGAAGAACACAAATCATGCAAACCCAAATAAGCATTCAAATGACTTAGTTTGTGGAAGCTTAGGAAACTTGTACCTTTAAAGATAAAAGCAACGAATATTCAGATGATGAATTTGCAGATATTGACTCTCCAGATACTGAATCTGCAAATATTGACTCTGGAAATGACAAATCTGCAGAAGATGAATTTGCAGTTGATGATACAAGTCCATGAAACCCAACGTCATATGCAAATGGTCCCATCAACCTTGAACAGTCCATAATTTCTCTCCGAAGTTGGCCCAGGTTTCAAGTCCTCATTAAATGTGGCGAAGATGTATGTCTTCGCTGCAAGTTTTGGCCGAAGAGGGGTCCCTTTCTCCTTTGCTAGCCTTCTACGTAGATTATAATTATATATCCTTACATTATTTACGGTGGCTGCAGTTTCATTGCCATCTTCCAATGCTGCATCAATCTGAGCGTCAAGCATGTTGTCATAGTGAAGTTTAGTATTTGGACTCGAAATGAGAATAATTTATATCACTGTTTGCTGGATCAGCCATGTAGACAAGGAAAGGGGAAGCATTTAAACAGAAGAGAGACCCGATTTCCGCAAAGAGCTCCAAAAATGGCTTCATGTATTTCTGCTTAACAGTCTCTTCAAATGTGCAGGAACGAACAAAAACAGCCTGAGCATGTAGAGTGGTAATCTGAACTAAATCAGCTAATTGTACCTTCTTTACTGCCTTGTAGATGTTTTTAACTGCACCCAAAAGAGCTCCCCACAATTCAAATTCAGCCACACGTAATACTTCATTGTCCACACAAATCCCACGGATGAGTGTATCAGGAAGGAACGCCTGCACATTTTCTTTAACCCAATTCATTGCTTGATCCTCATTGGCACTCATGGCTTGCAGGTATCCCTTTAGAAGTGCCACCACCACTAATTCAAGCCCTGTCCCTCTGAAAGCCTTGATGACATCATGATCAGCATCATATTTCCTCATATTCTTCATCTTTGCTGCCCTGATCAGAGCAACAACTTTATCAGGTGAAGGGATGTTATCTGCAATTCTTCCATAATTTATTCCATAGGTTCCGGTGAATGCTTGCACCGCCACAGAGGCTGGGAAAGAACACAAACATCAACCATTTGTTCATGTACTTGGTAATGAAAGACAACACGGGGCAAGATTATAAGTGCCATATTTTACACTAAAATTAACATAACTTACTCCAGTCTCAACCAGAAAAGAAATGTACTCCATTCAAGCTCAAGCACATGTATAGATTCTACAGAACCCAGTTTGATTGTATAGATTTTAACACTAACCAATACAATGTGATGCTATCATCGAGCAATCTAAGTCAAGAACCACTAAAATATCTAAACCCAATTGCCAAAAGAAAGCAACTTTGCACTAGAAACAATCACATAGATATACACTGCTATAACCATCCAATTCATCAAATTCAAGCAGACACAGCAGTTGAAACTGAAAACCCAACTCCAAAAATCAATGCAATGACAACAATCTAAGAAGCAAAAGCAAAATAGAAAGGTACCAATTAGAAGGGAGAAGACCAAGAAGACGTGAACAAACTGAGCAAAGAACAAGAAGCTTTACTCATGGCCTCGGAACAGAACCCAGCAATAAAAGATTCAATCTTTGGCAAAGATCCCAAACAAAGAGCAAAACCGACAAATACAAACACTTGAATGCAGTGCTGCTGTGCTTCTTCTTCTTCAGGCAAGCCATGAGAGAAGTTTATGAGTAATACTCTTTACGCTTTTTCTTTCATTACCGAGTTGGGGTTGTTTTCTGAGGATCAGAAGAGAGTTGGGGTTTTGGGGGTTTTGGTCGTTTTGGCGGTTTTATCGAGTTACCCTGTTGCTCACTTTGACTTTGGGTTTCATAAGTTTGTTTGGTTTGGAATTTACTTTGTCCACTCATAATTCTACTCAAAATTCGTGAATAGGAGGATGACACGTTTGACTGAACTATGTCTGTGCAATTCCCCGCGTTTGCTTAACCGCAGTGTTACTCGCTTCAGAGGTGGCCGCAGGATGATTTCGATTCTATTTACTCAATTAATCAATCATCCAGCTCTTTGTAAATTCTAAATTGTAAGGTCCAAATTTTTCCACCTGACATGAGCGTTAGAAAGTTCATCAATTTTTTTTCCAGATTACCATAATACCCTTGATCATTAGGAAAAATTACTGGATCAGATGACAGAATCCTGCAACCTTATCTCAAAAGTTCTAACATGTCAATTCAATACCTCTGAATTTTCCCACCAAAAAATACCAGAAAATAAGGTAAAAGAATCAAAGAAAAACAAAAAAGAAAAGAAAAGAAAGAAGGAAAGAAATGGCCACAGCCATTCTCTCTACTGCATACACCTTCCTCCCTTCAACTCTGTCCTCTTCTCCATCTTCTGCTGTTTCTTCTTCATTGACAATACCAACATTAGTTTGTTTCCAAAATCGAAATGCCAAGAGACCATTGGCTGTTTGCAAGGCCCTGAGTGAGCCACCACAATCAGCTTCTCCAATTCTGACCAAAAGAAGCCTTTCTATCTGCTTTGTCACTAGCTTTGTCTTCTCATTGGTTGGTAAAGACTGCTCCAGTTCTAATGCAGCAATTCTTGAAGCTGATGATGATGAGGAGCTCTTGGAAAAGGTTAAAAGGGACAGAAAGAAGAGGCTTGAAAGACAGGGAGTTATCAGCTCAGCCAAAAAAGAAACAGGTTTTCTCCCTTTATTTAATTGACTTGTGTTCCATTCACTTCAAGATCGATCACAAAATTCTTCATGTTTTCTGCATGTTTAATTGAATTTCAACAAAACTTATCAATTCCCAGTGATAGAATAGGTAGCAGAATTATCTTTTCTGATGAAAAATTCGTTTACAAGTTTTGTTCACAAGTGATAATGTTTTCTAGTTTAGGTTTTGAGGCTTCAGCTTGAAAGGTCATAGAAGCCCTATGTTTTTTTTATTTAATAAGGCTTCTGTCTGTCAGTTTAGAAGGGTATGTTTGTGGGGGTCTGATTTTAGGTACGCATGTTGGATAGCAATCTACCTTTCGGAATTGGACGAAAACAATCAATTTTAAAGTGCTGGGAAGGCGGCATTTTGCCTGATTCCCACGTGATAATGGCAAAAAAACAGTGGTGAATTAAAGAGCTGCTCTGTGTGTGCTACATTGTTTCTAAGTTTCTAGTACATTTTGGCATTCAAATTGGAGTAGTTCAGTCTTGAGACGGCTTTGCTTTCGTTTTTCTAATTATTGAAACTAAATAACACAAAACAAATCAGCGTGTGTGTAATTCGATGGTTTTATGAGAAACTGATTATTTGGTCTTGTTGACATGATCTTCTCAAATTCAGCCACCATGATGCTTCCCTGACGACAATAATTTGATATGTTGCACTGCAGGATATCTGCAGGAACTGGTGTACAGGCTGAGCAAAGCAGGCCAAGCCATTGAAAGCAACGATTTGCCAACAGCTAGTTCAGTTCTTGGGGCCAGCACAGATACAGATTGGGTTCAGAAGGCCAATATTGCTTTGAATAAGGTCATCCTGCTGGTTTATAAGAATAAGATTAGCACACAATGTTCTAGATAGTTTCTTATAAGCAAGCAATGTGGCTTGTCACAGAAAACCTCAACCATCAAAACTTATAACATACATTGCGCGTTTAGATTCTTGATTTCAGAATGAAGAATTTCCATGAAGAGTTATTGCTTCTGCTATTTGTTATGTTGGCATATATTGCATAGCTTTCTGACTTCGTTTTTTTTTTTTCTTCTGTTCTGTGTACCTTCTCAACAGCTAAGCTCTAGTCCTGAAGAGAAGACTGAGGTGGATACTTTCAATTCATCCTTGGCTTCATTGATATCATCAGGTGGGTTGTTATTAACTCTCATCACTGTAAATGATTCAAGGAGATTACAGTATATTACAGAAAACGGTCCAATATCTGACTGGAAGATCATCAACATTTAGTTCAAATTACATAATAAACATACTTTTTTCTTGCATATTTGAAAACCATTTTTCTTGTGGTTTTATGCAGTTACTCGGAATGATATAGATTCCTCCAAACTCGCTTTTGTGTCTTCTGCCAACGCAATTGAGAAATGGACATCATTAACCGGGCTTATTGACCAGCTTAAGGGACTTTAAACAGACAACAAGATGATCCCTGCACTTCTTTTTTATTTGTATGCGAGGAAAACTATTAGTTCCATGAATTCTCTGGTTTTATTTTATTGGTGCAATTTGAGTTCAACGGTCTCCGTTGAGTTTCGGCTACAGTCTTCACTAAACACACTACAAATTTCGATTTCATTGTTCTTTACACATTGAATTGAATTAATGTAACTTTTCACTTTTGTATGTATTGGGCAACCCACAGCTATGGATGTTTCAGCATTTTATGATTGTTAACCCACCGACCATCCGGCAAAATCAACATTCAATATTAACTGCAGCTAGATCAGGTCATCTCAAGCATGAGCTTCAAAAGTGAAACGAGTTCTTAACATCACTACAATAATACAGGGCTGCATAATAGTATTACATCACCAGTATTTTACAACATAATGTTACAGAGGTCACTGACAGCTACATTCTCTCTAGTACAACAAAAGGATGGTACATTATAGGCCTAATCTAATGATCCTATAGACGGATGCTTCAATGAACAATCAGATAGCTAAAATTAACAACACTGAAACTAATGATTTTCTCAGAAATGTGAAAGGGTCAGAATGCTGGACGAGAAACCGGTGCCATTCAGCAAACCATCAAGCTTCATTGCCTGGGCCGCCATTCTCAATCACTTCTCCTTCAACCTTCTTGCCCGCTTCACGAACACCTGAACTATTTTTTCCCTCAGTGTTCCCTTTTGCTGCTTCTTTCTCCTCGATTTCTACTTCAGTTTCAATAGCAACTTCATTATGTTTCTCTTTTTCTTCTCCTTCTACTTCATGTTTGTCCTCAACAACAATAGCAATTTCGGCTTTGCCCTGATCCCCTGTCTCTTCCTCTTTCCCTACCTCAACCTGTGGTTGCTCGCCGGTGCCATTCAGCAAACCATCAAGCTTCATTGCCTGGGCCGCCATTCTCAATCACTTCTCCTTCAACCTTCTTGCCCGCTTCACGAACACCTGAACTATTTTTTCCCTCAGTGTTCCCTTTTGCTGCTTCTTTCTCCTCGATTTCTACTTCAGTTTCAATAGCAACTTCATTATGTTTCTCTTTTTCTTCTCCTTCTACTTCATGTTTGTCCTCAACAACAATAGCAATTTCGGCTTTGCCCTGATCCCCTGTCTCTTCCTCTTTCCCTACCTCAAACTGTGGTTGCTCGCCCTTCTCTTCTACTTTTTCCCCTTCTGCATTTTCTTTTTCGGTTTGTTTTCCAAAACCAGAACCTTCAACTTCCGTCCCATCAATGGATGCTTTTGAATCTTCTGGATCTGCTTCGCTAGTTTTCTTGCACTCTTCAGCATCGCCAGGTACGTTAGCTTCTTGTTCAACTTTTGTTTCTTCAGGTTGAGCTACTTCTGTCTTGGTATCTGCAACTGGTGCTTTTTCCTCATCTTGGTTTTCCTTCACATCATCCTTTTCCATCTCAGTATCTTCAACCTTCCCAGCTTTTTCAGCAGCTTGCACATCACTAATTTTTGTCTCCTCAGCTCCTTCAGGACCAGCTTGCTTTTCTTTGCTGTCCTTCTTCGCCGAAGTTGATTTTCTGCTTCGCTTCTTTGGGGGCTCACCTTCCGGTGGTGGAGTTGCTTTGGCCTTCTCACTAATCCTTGCTGATCTCCTTGGTGTCTCACCAGTGCTCCAATCAAATTCTGATACTGCAGGACCCCCAGGGTGTGCTTTCAGGTACTGTTCCAACTGTCTTTTGTTGGTGATCTCCTCTCCCGTTGGAGCTGTAAATACGATCTCATTTTTCTTAGGAGTTCCACTTTGCTTGGGCAGAAACTGCATGTTGCAAAGACCAACCTCAGCATGTTATATTGACTTCAAAAACTGGAAGAAAAAAACACACAACGAGAGGAATATAGATTTGAAAATTGCTTTAACTATTAGTAACCTCAATTAAATTAAAAAAAAGTACGTGGAAATCAAATAAGATATGAATTATTGCACCATGGTTGGAAGATACTGAAACTGCACTTATGAGATAAAGGACAGTGCTCATGCACCTAATGAAATCAACAAGCACAGAGACCTAATAGTTCATTGGTGTAGCTCACTAAAGTTTCTAAGTAATGCAACTGAGGAAACTTAAATATGAAAGCTGGAAATCTAATCCAACAAATATATCTGAATAAAACCGATCCATAATTGCACACAACCTATATTCCCATTGCTCAATCAGTTCTAACAACATAAAACTGACCCGTTTGATTTTCTTGTTAAGTGGAAGCAGGTCAATCAAGGTAAAAGAGTCATTTACACTTTCCATAGACCCAGTCATGTTCGCCTAGCATGTTCATTTGCCAGCCATACCATAAAAGAGATCACATGCTTAAAAGTAAGAATTATAAATAAGAAAAATAATTGAAAAAAAAAATTATCAGCAATGTATTGAGGAAGGGAATTATCCCCAAATGAAATCACTGAGATTGTAATTGCCCCACTTTTATTCAAAAGTCCACATTCCAAACTGCACTTCACAAAAACAAAAACCCCAAATCCACAGATATATGAAAATGCAGAAAACCATACATGAGTTACAAGCTGAGTTCCATGAAACAAGTACAACAATGCCCAAAATATGAGAGCGTTTCCCCCCCAAACCCTACCTGACCAACCGACACAGTTTAACCTAACAAACTATACACAAAAGCCTCAGAAGCTTAAGCATAATTACTGAAATTCAACACAAAATGAGGAACAGCAACAAACCCTAAATAAGAACCATTAACACATCATCAAATTTTACCAGCAAAAGTCACTAAATCACAAAAGCAGGCAAACTCAAATGAAATTTCCCCAAATAAACAGGAATATAAGTAATATGGCAACAAAAGAATTGAAAATTTGATGGCTCGGAAAACTTAAAAGGGCCAAGCAAAACAGAGAGAGAGAGAGAGAGAGAAAGCAAAGAATAAACCTTCTTAACCCAACCCGAAGGAGCTGGTAGTTCTAAGGACACAACCTCCTCACCCTCCTTCTCCACTGAGCTTGCCATTTCACTCTCACCTACCAAAATTCAACGAAATTCAACTCCCTAAAAAACAACTCGTGAATTTAATAAGCAGAGTACATAATAAAATATTTATTAGAAAGAAAAAAAAAAGGAAAAAAAAAATGCGACAAGCAGTAAGCTAGAGAGAAGTTGCTTACTTTCTCTGCAAAATTTGAAGGCTTTGAAATCGATGAAGGGGAAAAGAGGGCTAACTGAATATGAACAGAGGCAACTATAACAGACACGTTGTTGAATCAGGGCATTTGTGCTTCTGTTTCTCTCTCTAACCCAAAGAGTTCGAGAGCTGGTCTGTGATTTTGGTGCTGGGTATTTGGGAATCGTCACGGTAAGATAGTGAAGCGACACGTGTCACAGATGGGAGTTTATGAACGGCTTAGATTGTGCCTGGGGAAATTGGTTAGTTTTGACTTGGGATGACTGTGAGTCACCGCTGGGGCTTGTGACGGTCGTCTTGGCGATTACTTTGGATTTACAACCATACAATCACTAGGGTGGACAAGAGAGGCATTTTGAATTTCAAAAATGGTATGTCTCTGTAGGCATCTAATTAAAGAATATCCAGCATTTGGAAAGTCAGTTAATAAATTGAAGAAATAAAAATCTTTGGGGATGATAATCCGTGTAATTTAATAAAAATAGTAATTGCCCAAAAAGAAAAAGATAATATAAAATGAATTATAAATTTGACCAACCAGTTTGTTACTCATATATGTTAAAGGATCGAAGTTAAATGCAAAGAGTGCTAATGATAAATTTGAAATTATAATTAAGTGTAAAAATGAAATTACCATATTTGGTTATTATGTGTTGTCGGATTGACTTAGGTTTAAGACATGTGGCGGGGGGCCTGGTTTCCCTTTTTAAGGTGCGAATTCGAGCGATTGACTTCTGGCTGCGACATCTAAATTGTAATAAACGACACAGAATTCAGGTTATCCATAAACTGCCTTATCCTCTACACTTTTGCTTGTTTGTATTGAACCGTTGCAATCTGTTTTTTGTGCATTATTACATTTTTGCCTTCGCATAATATAAATAAAATAAATAGATAAATTTACAAGAGAGGACAACGAAAGGAATTGAATTTTTTATTTTCTTGAAAAAAGACTTTGGGGACAAGTTCAATCAGTCTGGAAAAGTAGGCACACCTTTTTGTTTATTCATTATTTATTTTCCGCTTGCCACCTAATCCATAAAATATATTTATACTTTGAAGAAATGATTCTTCTTGGGAGGGTGTCGGTCGGTTGGGATGAAAGTTGTAGCGGAACATTGAGGCCCAAGCCCAGTAGTCTAAGCACCTCTACTCGTAGATAGAAATGGGGGAAATTGTGGAGGACAAAAAGGAAGTTTGGAGTGATGTGTATGGATATGGGGAAACATCATTCACATGAAGCGCAATGGCTAGGTATGGATGTTGCATTTTCTTCACGATACTGCAACTCAATTGTCATTTTCCAGAAGGGAAGGAGAGAGCATCATCAGGTTTTGGTCTATTTATATGTCTACTAAGCCTTCAAATGCAAACCCCCTCCACTCCATCAGTCGTAACAAAACAACACTCCACGTGAGGGATTCAGAGAAAGACGAAGAAATGCACCCACACCTTACTTGTTGCTGGATGATCTATATCCAACAATTTCTTAAAGATGCCTGAATGAATGTAGTGCTGCTAGCTACTTGTTTATTTATTATTTATTTGCTCAAAAGAGAAGAAGCATTTTAAGCCTATATGAGATGTAGAGTAGGGTACGTACTGACATTGAGGGTCTGCAACCCTATTAATAAATTAATTGTACATAAAATCTCAAGGCTTTCCTCTTCATATAAGAGCACTTCGAGCAGCCAGCCTTAGCCAAGGCAGGAGGGGGCTCAACCCCCATTTTCACGTTCCAACAGGCTTCAGCAGCCCGGGTAGCTTGTGGCCTGAAGTCAAGAATAGTCTGGGCTATTGCTTGGATTTGTTGATGTCAGTAACGAAATTTTTTAAATAAAATAATTTGAAAAAAAAGATTCTGAAAAAAGACTAAGAATTTTAGAATTTTTTTAAATAAATACTTAGTCATATTCTTCACTTCCCATACTAAAATTCTATAAAAATTCATCTCCTCACATTTCATGTGAATAGTAGTTGCCCTTGAGTTGCCATGGCAATGGATGAAAACACCACAAGCCTTTTGCAAGGGCTACCACTATTTATGTGAATAGTAATAGTCATTGCCTTGCTCTTGCCCTTTGTCATGACAAATGGGTGGAAGTGCTCTAAGAGCATCCACAGTGAGAGGGTGTATAATGAGATGTATGTTAAATATACACCATTTGTTATCGAAATCACCCGCAATGGAGAGGTGTAAACAAGTGTAAATTTGCATCACCACCATGAAATGTAAATTTAGATGCACATGTACATCTTTTTTTACATCTCTTGCAGGTTGGACCTACATGAGAAAATGTGCGAAAAAGTAGACAAAAGTGGGACCTACAGCAGAAAAGGTGAAAGAAATCAATTATACATATTTGTCACTAGAGCAAAAATCATATTTACAACCCCAAAGGTATAAAGGGGATGTAAAAATGGCTTTACACCCCTGAAAATACACCTTCCCATTGTGGATGCTCTAAGGTGCACTCAGCTTCGACAAAAAAAGAAGACTTGTTAAAGTGAAAATTTATGTACACAGCTTTCAAGAAAGTTTGTCTGATAATTTGTACTTAAAAAGGTTCTCCAATTAATTTATGAGCACAAATGACTTTTCAAGTTCCATTTGGCTGGCAGATTATTATTCCCACTAATAATAATATAGTCAGTCGTCCACGGATATGGGGCTCCACATGGCACAATGTTGTTTGATTCTTATTGTTCTTTCGTTTGTGCATAATGTAACGATATGAAGATCTCTATCCATGCTGTTCGTATCATATTGTACAGTAATTTTCATCATTTATTTTCCCCTCTCAAGTCTTAAATGCATAGATATAGGATAGACAATCAAAAGGGTACACAGATTGTAAATTGATTAATTAAGTACATGCATGTAGTAGTGAAATTTAATCGAATATAAATTGGATGGTTATTTCGTCTATATAACGTGGATAGCTTTATTTGATTTGAGGTGTCCTTAATTTTATTTAGGACGCTCTATTATGTGATTTTTTGAATCGGAGTCCGACGTTTTGTCCTCCCGTTATAATTCTTTATTTTATCAATAAAGTTTCTCTCGTTCCGTCGAGATTCTCTATAATAAAATAAAATAAAAATGGTTACATACATATATATATTCAGATAGGAAGACAAATTTGGTTGGTTTATTAATGATCATTGTGTCTACACTCTGAGACTCCTAGATTATTAAAGATGTGACATACATATGGATGGAGTGTCAATATAAATATTGTATGCCATTGAAAAAGAAGAAGAAGAAGAAGAAGAAGAAGAATTTAAAAAAACTGGTAAATAAAATGAAATAACGAAGAATTAGAGCTCGGGAAATCACGGAGTAAAATAAAATACTTATGTTTCAAAATAATACGCCGCACCAAACAATTGACTGTAGTGTATAATATTTTAGAACATATCAGAAGTGGCCTTATAAACAATATTATTAATAATCTTACAAGTAGGGGGCAGTGGCAAAAATCAGCAATGTCGTCTTACGCCTGTTTATTAGACCAAGAGACATGGAAAGGGACGCAACCCAAACAGCCACTATACAGTGCTTTCTTTTTTTTGGTTGTTGAAATTTGTTGGGATTGTATTCATAATTCAGTATAAAAAAAACAACTAATCATAAAGGGCCAATGCAAATTAGCCACAAAGAGCCATTACAATAATGGAGCGATCTAACATTAAATTTAAGACAATTTTGTGCTACTCCATTAACAATCATGCATGATTGAAGAAACTCTGGCATATGCATCCAATTAAGATTGCAAACTCATAACAATCAAAAAGAGATAAAACTTGAAAAAATCAAGCCATAACAATATATATAAAACTCTCTCAAAAAAAGAGGTGAAAACTACACAGAAAACCCAAAGAGTTTATGCGACTTATTCCAAACATAAAGAAATCACGAAAATGATAGTGGTGGAGATTCGACACCGAGATGCAATCGTCTGTGATAGGTGGAGGAAAATCATAACAAAACAAACACAAAAAGAGGAAACCTAATATCACTGAAAATGAGAAAAAAGAGGAGAAAGGAGAAAGAGAGAATAAGAGAGGAGAAAGGAGAAAGAGAGAATGAGAGAGGAGAGGAAGAACAGTAGATTCCTCCCTATCTATGTAAAAATGGCTAGGAGTGTTTTTCAGATGTTATTTTTGTCCACTTCGATAATGTCCAATTGCATTTAAATGAGAGAAAACTAGATAGTAGGTTGTCAAGCAGAAATCTTTGTATTCCCTGGTTATATATATCAATGTAACGTTTCTTTCTCGAAATCTATATAACATGGGATTTACAAATGAAAGTTTAAATTTTTTGGGTCAAATTTACAAGTGAATTTAGTGTGTGGAAAAGTTAAATATGTATCGGCCGAGCTAAAAAAAATTGTATATATATTAGGGTTAATTACAATTTAGTACCCTGTACTTACACCCTTAAGACATGTTAGTCCCCGTATTTTCAATTTTAACAATCGCATACCATTAGTTTGTAAATTTTTTGCAATGTGGTTCCGCTGTTAGGGTTTCTGTTAGATTTCTCTGTTAACTGCCTACGTGGCATTGTGGGTCCCACATTTTTTAATTTTTTAATTTTAAATTGATTAAAATATAAATAAAATATTAAAAATCAAAAAATCAAAAAATTTCTCTCTCTCTCTCTCTCTCTCTCTCTCTCTCTGTTTCTCTGTAAAAATTCTCCCAAACCGCTGCGATTTTCTTCTCCCCTTCATTCCACCATGCCCACTCGCAGCCATCCTCCAAAACCCCCACCTCCAAACGAACCAAGACCCCAGCCGGCAACCACCCAGACTCCCTCCCTCTCCCTCTCCT